TGCAACCTGCGTGACCTTCATACTGCCTGCCGCAAGTGGCAACACTGCCGCTGAAAGTGGCATGAACAAGCTTTTCAACACTACAGAGCCCTTGGCAGGGCAGATGAGCTCAGCAGGAACCGCCAAAGCCGTTTTTTAAGCACCGCCAGCACGAAAGAGTTCGCATTTCACTGCAAATGCTCGCAGAGCGCCCGCCAGGTATTCTGGGCCGACGCATTAATGGCCGCCTCCGCATGAGGACCAACCGCAACCTGGGCACGCAGTCACATATAACCCTGCTGTCAGCATTCAGAGCACTGCAAGTCACAGATTTCCAAGTTGCAGCAGCAGCAAAGCAACACATGCTGTCAAGGTCAGAGCACCTCCTGAGTTACGGAAGGGTTAGACAGCAGATCTAGGAGTTGCTCCGGACTTAAGAAGGGGTCGTTTGCTCGGATTACCCATAGCTTCCCATCGTACTGTATTGCACTCTTTGCGATCCAGATCCGGAGCAACACCTGGTAAAAAAAGAGTGACTGCATTGGAGTCACGCATTATCTAAGAGTCGTCGCCTGAACGTTGCGTGTGATCTTTGTGTTTTTCTACTGCTGTCTTGGCAGCCATAGCATCCTATCGTACTGGATTGCACTCTTCGCGATAGCAACACCTGGGAAAAGTGCGACTGCCTTGGAGTCACGCATTAGCTGAGAGAGTCATAGCCTGAACGTTGCGTGTGATCTTCTCTTTTCTTATACACGCATGTTTTTGCTGCTGCTTGTCTTGGCAGCCATAGCATTCTATCGTACTGGATTGCACTCTTCGATCCGAAGACACCTGGTAGAAGAAGTGCGACTGCATTGGAGTTACGCATTAGCTAAGAGAGTCGTAGCCTGAACGTTGCGTGTGATCTTATGCACGCATGTTTTGCTACTGCTTGTCTTCCTTTGTGCCTTGTCCCCTCGGTTGCTCCCGTACCCTAAACCTAAAATTCCCCTGACTCTAAACCCAAAAAAACGCTAAACCTTCCAAAGGATAAAAAAATAATCTAAGCCCTAAACCTCAAAAAACCCTTAACCCTAAACCCTGAACCCTAAAAACCCCTGCCGTGAAAACCTCTAGTTCAGGCTGCTACTCTCTTAGCTAATGCGTGACTCCAATGAAGTCGCACTTTTTAACGGGGTGTTGCTTCGGATCGCGAAGAGTGCAATGCAGTACGATAGAAATTCTATGGCTGCCATATCAACCCTTCCAGTTGCCAAGATTTCACACCTGGACCAACCAACACCAGCACAGACACAGCCCAAACAACAAGGGCACTCAATTTTTTTTAGCGCTCCGCCTCTGTTAGTGTCTTGAGCCACGTGTTACGGGTGCATTGACCTTTGTTCCAGACCTGTAAGCACATCTCTGCATAGGGCTCAGGGGTGTAGCTCTGCGGCTTGGGGTTTTTAGGGTTTAGGGTTTCTCAAGGTTTAGGGTTTAGGGGTTTTTGAGGGTTTAGCTTCCGTCATGAGGTACGAAATGATAGAGCTTTAATTCTTCTTAAGTGTACTTTACCTTTTACACGTGCCACAATCCTAAGAAAGTTTTGTTGCTTTGTTTTGTTGGGTTTTGTCCAACCTTTGAGCAGAGACCAGCAAACATGACATGTCTTGTTTACATGCTCAAGGTAAATGACACGTCATGGCACACTTCTTTTCAAGACGGGGGAAGAGCTAGTGTCACCCAAAAGATCAAGACCGGATACTGGCCTCAAGCAAGTGTTGAGATCCTGTATGGCTTAAACAGCTTCCTGAAAGTCAAGAGGTCTGATCAAGAGCCACAAAGCAAGATCGAGATGGACTCTCCCATTTATCCTATGTGGAAAAGTCACAAAGCCGATTGCGCTGTATCCTAAACCCTAAAAGGTGAGACGCAGTCTCTGAAGGGCCCGAAATCAATGAAAGTAGTCTTGGCTCAGAAAAGTGAAATAGCGATTTTACATACGTTTTTGATACATTTGGGTTCTTGACCAGATTTATGCGGCGCGCTCAATTTCTATGAGGTTGTGGAAAACCTGCAGAGGGGCATTAGGATTGTGGCTCAAAGAATTACGGGCTTAGGCTTTTTTTAGGGCTTAGGGGGTTTTTAGGGTTTAGGGGTTCGGGATTTTTGGGGTTTAGGGTTTAGGTTATCCAGGGGTTGGAAGGGTTTTTGCGTCTGGAGTTTAGGGGTATTTAGGGTTAAGGGCTCAGGGTGCTTAGGGTTTAGGGTTTAGAGGTTATTAGGCTCTACGGTTTAGGGATTTTAGGGTTCAAGTTTGGAGGTTTTTAGGGTTTAATTAGGGTTTAAGGGTTTTTCGGCGGGTTTTTTCTCCAATCTTGGATACATTTGGATACACGTATGCAAGCTAGACTGTCTCAGACAAAGCAACGCCTACGGGGTTGAGGGCCTACGCCTGCTTCTGAGGGCGGCACGAATCTACACAAGAGACAACCCCACATCACTGGCATCTTCCCCGGAGCTGGACATTGCGAGCAAGGGGAGAGCCGGAAAGGCAGACTACACCCCGCTTGACTGGCTCAGATCAAAGTACGGGCTGAGAAGCTTGACTGACCCAAGCGGAGGCCGAGCAGGTGAGAGGGCACTGATCCCAGAAAGGCCGGGGATGACAGTGGCAAGGGTGGCGAGGCCGACACAGGCGCAGGGGCTGCGAGGCAGGCTCGCCTATTCACGGCTCAGCCAGCTGGTCCACCGGCGGCTCGGGCGGCCCCAGTCGGCGGAGGATCGCACGAGCATTCTCACGCTGCAGGGAGACAGCCAAGGACTGCATGAGCTGCTCAGTCTCAACAGCCTCGCTCTCTCCTGTCTTCGCTGCCAGCAGTTGACCCAGTTCCTTCCAGGTCCGCCTGGCGATCGGCGCCCAGCCCCCAGAGGCCTCAACCACAAGGGGAACGAACTGCAAGCCTTCTGAGGCACAAAGCAGCTGGGTTTGCAGATGCGTGCGCTTGCGCGCTTCGTAGTCCTCGGCCGGGCGGCTGGCATCCGCAGCTACGGAAGCAGGGACCCACACATCAGCCGGTCTTCGTCCCGCGGCGCGCCGCTGGTTTTTCAGGGTTTAGAGCTTAGGGGTGTTTAGGGCTCATTAGGGTTTAGGATTTTTGCGTTTGGGCTCAGGGTTGTTAGGGGTTGTTGGTTTTAGGGTATAGGGTTTGTTGGGATTTAGGGTTTAGGTTTTGTTTTAGGGCTTGGAAGGTTTAGGGTTTTTATTGGGTGTGGAGTTCAGGGGTTGTTAGGGTTGTGGGCTCAGGGGTGCTTAAGGTTTAGCGGTTTTTAGCTTTACGGTTTAGGGGTTGCCCGGAATTAGGTTAGTGGTTTTTAGGGTTTATGTCTCGGGCTGTTCAGGGTTTAGGGTTTTATGGGTTTTCAAGGTTTAAGGCTCAGGGGTTTTTGAGGGTTTAGGGTTGGGACTTTCTTAGGGCGTAGGGTTTAGGGGTTTTTCGGCTGGTCTTTTCAGGGTTTAGAGCTTAGGGGTTTTTAGGGCTTGGGGTTTTGGATGTTTTGGGTATAGGGCTGAGGGGTTGTTAGGGGTTGTTGGCTGACGGGTCTTTGGGGTTTAGGGTTTTCGGGTTTAGGTTTTTCTTGGTTTGGAAGGTTTAGGGTTTTTGTTTTTTAGTTTAGGGGTATTTAGGGTCAAGGGCTGGGTTTTTAGGCTCTACGGCTTTAGGGATTAGAGGTTTTAGGGTTTAGGGTTAGAGGGTTTTGGGGTTTAGGGGTTTTCAAGGTATAGGGCTTAGGGGTTTTTGACTGTTTAGGGTTTAGGCGTTTGAGGGTTTAGGGTTAGGGTTTGTACGGGTATAGGTCTCAGGGGTTGTTAGGGGTTGTTGGCTCAAGGGTTTTAGGGTTTAGGGTTAGAGGGTTTTAGGGTTTAGGGGTTTTCAAGGTATAGGGCTTAGGGGGTTTTGACTGTTTAGGGTTTAGGCGTTTTAGGGTTTAGGGTTAGGGTTTGTACGGGTATAGGTCTCAGGGGTTGTTAGGGGTTGTTGGCTCAAGGGTTTTAGGGTTTAGGGTTTAGGTTTTTTGGGATTTAGGGTTTAGGTTTGTTTTAGGGGTTGGGAAGGTTTAGGGTTTTTTGAGTGTAGAGTTCAGGGTTGCTGGGGCTTAGGGCTCAGGGTTGCTTAGGGTTTAGGGGTTTGCAGCTTTACGGTTCAGGGGTTTTAGGGTTTAGGTTTAGTGGATTTTAAGGTTTAGGTGGGGTGTTTGGGGTTTAGGGGTTTCAAGGCAGGAGTTTTTAGGGTTTAGGGTTTAGGGTTTTTTTTGGGGTTGAGGGTTTAGGTTTTTTTTTTTCGGGATTTGGAAGGTTTAGGGTTTTTGGGTTTAGAGTTTAGGGGAATTTAGGGTGTAGGGCTGACGGGTGCTTAGGGTTTAAAGGGGTTCTAGCTAGGGGTTTTTAGGGTGGAGGGCTTTTCAAGGTTTAGGGTTTAGGGGGTTTTGAGGGGTTAGGGTTTAGGTTTTTTGGAGGGCTTAGGCTTTAGGGTTTTTTCGGCTGGGTCTTTTCAGGGTTTAGAGCTTAGGGGTTGTCAGAGTTTAGGGCTTTGGATGTTTTGGGTATGAGGCTCAGGGGTTTAGGGTTTATTGGGATTTAGGGGTTAGGTTTGTTTTAGGGGTTTGGAAGGTTTAGGGTTTTTTGGGTGTAGAGTTCAGGGTTTGTTGGGGTTTAGGGCTCAGGGGTGCTTGGGGTTTAGGGGCTTTTAGGGTTTAGGGGTTTTCAAGGTTTAGGGTTTAGGGGTTTTTGAGGGTTTACGGTAGAGGCCTTTTTGAGAGCTTAGGGTTTACGGTTTTTTCGGCTGTTTTTTTTTTTCAGGGTTTAGAGCGTAGGGGTTTTCAGGGTTTGGGGTTTTGGATGTTTAGGGTTTTGGGCTCAGGGGTTGTTAGGGGTTGTTGGGTCTTTATGGTTTAGGGTGTAGGGTTTAGCCACTGTGCCCAAGAGCCTACCAGCTGGCGTGGCGGTGCTGGCCGATACTTGGGGGGTAGGAGGCGCCATGGAAGGTTCTTCGGCGTGGGTTCTGGAATCGGATTGGTGCAACTTGGTGGGGCAAGCTTTGTGCGAGCCCGCAGTCTGCCCGTCATGTCCTGATCCAGTTCAGGTTCTGCATCCGCAAGAGCTGGCCCTGCTGCATGATGTCCAGGAGATTGGCCCTTGTTTCGCCCCGAGCTCCACCGTGCGCATTGAAGGTTGTCGTGCTGCGGTTCCGGTTGTAGGTGCAACGGCCGATGCCCGTGTCCAGGACCTCACCCCTGGCCCGGCCTTTGGGGTCCTAGGTGGTTTAGCCCCGAACCCTCACGCTGGCAAGGTTCTCGAAGGTGCCAGGACCTCACCCCTGGCCCGGCCATAGGGGTCCTTGGTGGTTTAGCCCCGAGCAGGACCGTGCGCGTCGAAGATTGTCATGCTGCCAGGGTTCCGGTTGTAGGTGCCAAGGCCGATGCCCGTGTCCAGGGCCTCACCCCTGGCCCGGCCATAGGGGTCCTAGGTGGTTTAGCCCCGAGCCCCACCGTCGAAGCTTGTCGCGCTGACAGGGTTCCAGTTGTAGGTGCAACGGCCGATGCCCGTGTCCAGGACCTCACCCCTGGCCCGGCCATAGGGGTCCTAGGTCCTAGGTGGTTTAGCCCCGAGCCCCACCATGCATGAAGGTTTTGACGCTGCCAGGTTTCCAGTTGCAGGTGCAATGGCCGATGCCCGTGTCCAGGACCTCACCCCTGGCCCGGCCTTAGGGGTTCTAGGTGGGTTTGTCCCCAACCCTCCCGTGGGCATTGAAGGTTTTCGTGCTGCCAGGCTTGTAGGTGCAACGGCCGATGCGCGTGTCCAGGACCTCACCCCTGCCCGGCCATAGGGGTTTTAGGTGTAGGCCCGAGCCCCCCCTTAAGCCTAGAGGTGGAGGCTGCGTCGTCCGTGCCATTTGCGGAGGAGGAAATCGTCCCGGCCCTTGGTTGAGGCGCTCTGCCAAGCCGGCTTAGCGGACAGGCTCCCATGGCAGGTGTGGGATGAACAGCGGCTGTTGCTTGCAGGGTCTGCGGCTGTAGTGGCAGGCCAGGCATACTGGGCACACTGTCTAGCTCCAAAAGGACCTAGGCAGTTGAGCACGGCCCCCTGTAACACAAGTGCGTGTGCTTTGCCTGCTGACGTCCAGTCCTTTCTCCAACCGATCGTGCCCTGACGCAACAAGGGCCTTTCTTGGCAGATGATCAGGTTGCAGCAAGCCTCAAGTGCCTGGCGAGCTTCACCCAGCGGAGTGTCATAGTGCTAGATCCTCTGATGCTTCAAGCTGCGGTGGCCCATGAAAGCCACAGCATCCTAACTACGTTCCTTGCGGGTGTCCAGCAGCCCTTCGAAGTCATTTCGGCCTTTTGCTCCCATGACCATTGGGTGTTTGTCCATTGGCATGTTTCCCTTGGCACTGTTGAAGCGTGGACAAGCTCCACCGCAAAGCTGCATGATGCTGATGTGGCAGTGGCGCACTGCGTTTTTGGCCGGGCGCTTGGCTCACATGCACGTTCTTTCCGGTTCCACGATGCCCCTGCCAGGGTCGAAAGCCCCAACTTGTGTGGGCCGCTTGGTTTGGTCGACCTGCTGTGTCAGTTGCAAGGTGCTGAGCCATGGGCGTTTGAGCATGCTTGCGATACGGCGGCGTGGGTTCTGGCTGCGTTCGTGGCTTCTCTTGACCGCGACGGCCATGTGCGTCAGCCCGTTCTGTTGGCAGGTGCATTGCATGGAGCTGGGGCCCACCCACTCTTGGTCCAGGGCCTAGCGGCCACCCTGCGCCAGAAAGGTGTGCCGGCCGAGGCGGCGTCCGACCGTGCTCAGTCTGCAATATGCCAACTTGGTGCGGCAGCTGTCCAGAAGGCAATGACTTCGGCCCAGCCTTGGAAGCAGTTGAAAGCCTTGGCCAATCAGGCAAAGCCAGTGTTCCAGTGGATTCTTCCGTCCGAGCTTCAGGTTCACATCGAAGCCCGGTTGGCGTCGGGTGACGGCCCGAGCCATCGCCGAGCTCAACGCAAAGTTCGCAGTGTTTCAGGGCCATTGGCGCCCAGCAGCAAGGAGGTACAGGCGCCTAGGCCAGACCAGGTTGAGGTTCCCGACGGTGTCTTCATCCAGGCCAAAGGTGGCGAAACCTTGTGTGCGCTCTCCCTGCTTGAGGTAGGACCTCAGGCAGAAGGGGTCGTCTTGGTGACGCCGGCGGAGGCGTTGCCTTACCTTGCACTCTCGAGCCCAGTTTCCAAGCGTGCGTTGGCGCTCCTTGTCCTTGGGGATATCTGTGTGTCTGGGGCCACCGCGCCTGTGTCCCAGGTTCGGTTCCAGGCCCAGTGCGTTGAGACATCTGAGCCGATGCTACTGACAGCAACCATGATCCAGATTGGCGATGTTTGGGTGGCCAAGGCTGTGCCTACTCAGGTGGCGCCGCTTGATGTCGTTGATTCCACCTTGGTTCGGGTTGCTTGCTTCAAGGACCAGTGGCCTGGAGTATGGCGGGGACTGATTCAGGCACCAGTGCGAGCAATTCTTTCTCAATGCCCTCAGCTCAGGACGTGTCGCGCCTTGGACTGTGCGTGCCCGTCGTGGCATGGCCTTAGCGGCCCAGGGGAGCCCGAAGCTCTCCTGGAGGTTTTTGGCAGGCAGTTCTTGAACGAGAATTACAAGGGGGCATCGCCCTTGCCTGGTGGTCAAGGCGCGGGCATTTGGTGGGTAGTCCAGGCCTCGGAGCGCCCTGACAGATCTGTCATTCCCACAGCCCAAGGGGAAATCCTGATCGTTGAGCAAAAGGCCCGTGTGGTCGAAGCGCCACGCGTGCCGACTGTCGTTGCGTCCAAGTCTGCCCTTCGTCGCCTCTCGGAATCCCGTGTCGAGGCTGATCCCATTGATGTGTCAGACCCATGGCAACAGTATTTGGATGGCAAGGCTAGTGGACAGAGCCAGGCACTCCGCGGGGAATCATCAGGATCCTCCGGACCAAGAGCCCAGGGTGTCACTCAGGCGGAGTTAGCTGGCGCGCCGACTTGAAGAGTCGGTGGGCACACAGGTTGCCACACAGGTTTCGCAGGCGCACAGGTCTTTTGATGGCCGCTTGGCAGGTGTTGAGGAGAAGGTTGGTTCTCTTCATCAAAGGGTCGATGCCCAAGAGCAAGGTCTGCAGCAGGTCATCCAGAACATGTTTGCGGCCCAGACGCAGCGCATCGAGGAGCTCCTTGGAGCGAAACGCCACCGTGAGCAGTGACTAGGTTGGGTTTGTGGAGCGGGGTTAGGTGCCGCGAGCATTCCGCGGATGCGGTGGTTGGTGGCACGTTGTTTGGCTTGCTTTCTTTCTCTCTTTTCATTGGGGTGAGGCGTGCCATCCAGGACCTGTCCGGCAATCAGGTAGGTTTCAGGTTGGCGCCATTAACCCGACAGGGTTGAATGGAAAGGCCTCTGTTCTTTCAACGATCCATCCTGGCATCTGGGGCATATCTGAGACTCATCTTTCAGCCCAAGGCTTGCGCCAGTTTAGGCAAGGTCTGCGTTTGAACCAGGCCCCATTCACGTTTCTCCCGGGGGCCCCGGCGCCCCTGCGTACCGGAAGCCAAACTTCAGGTGGATACACAGGAGTCGGCTTTGCATCTTCATATCCCGTCCGGGCATCCCCGACCGGGTGGCACCAGGATGTGTGGAATACCGCACGCGTCCAATTGGCCTCTTTTTACGTGGCTCCTTTTTGGGTCCAAGGGGCAGTGGTTTATGGCTACCCGGCGGACCAAGCCAAGACGCACGTTCTTCTAGATGCGGTCACTGAGCGGTTGGTGCTTAACTCTCGCGGCCCGAGGTTTGTTGTGGGTGACATGAATCTCCTGCCTCAACAGCTTGAAGCTGCCCACCCCGAATGGTGCCAGCATGGGTTTCGTGAAATTCAGGCGGTCGCGGCAGCGAGATGGGGCTGGCAGGTGCAGTCTACATGCAAGCATGCCACTCAGAAAGACCACCTGTGGGTGTCACCTGAGCTTGCCTCCATGCTGTGCGAGGTGCAGGTGCAGCATGACGTTTTTGCGGACCCATGCAGTGCTGGTGGGCACGTTCTTAGGAGGTCAGGCCATGTTATCGCGGTTTTGTTGGCGCATGCCCCAGCCTGCGCTTGAACCGAAGGCAAAGGTGCAACCGCTGTCGACGCAGCCAGCCGTGCCATTGGACACATCTCGCCCTTCACAGGCCTACTCTTCCTTGTGGCGTCAGTATGAGGACCGATGGTCCGACGACAGAAGCGCGCGACAAATCGAGCCCTTGACTGAGGCCCAACGTGGCCGGGCAGCCACCCTGGATACCAAACTTGTTCGCACGGCTCCCGTACCGATGACTAAGGGCAGGCATGGTGAGGCCGAGGTAACCTTCTTTGGTGGGGATTGGTGGTTCGGTCGGTGGTTCAAGCATCTTCGTCGTTTGCAGGCCTACATGCAGGTCGCGTGAAGGCCGAGCCGAAGCCCAAGCCAATCGGTGGCGCGCTGTTCGCCGAGCAGCAGGTTTCAAACCGTCGTTTGCAGAGTGGTGGCTATGTCGCAAAGTTCGCATGGCTGGGGATCCAGACAGGATGCCTGTCAACCCGCCAGGGGCCCAGTGTGCGCAGCAAATCTTTCAGACGTTCGAGGCTTGTTTCCGTGACTTGGAAAGCCAACTTAAGAAGCACACGCGCAAACTGGCGCAGCAGCGCCGGGTGGACAATCCATCTTTGATTTTTCGGGACATGAAGCCTGATCAGGCTGAGCCGGTAGAGACCCTTGTCTCAGGCACCAAGGCCAGAGTCCAGGAAGTGAGGGCTGATGAGGGGTTGGTGGTGCTTGATGGTTCGCCGGCTTGGGTGCCAGAGCTTCCGTTTCATGTCGGCGAGCGGGCGCTTGAGGTGCATCACACAGAGGAGGAATGTTTGTGGGGCGACGTCGCAAGCCTGCGCCCGAACGACTTGGTGCGCCAGGACGTGCTGCTCGGGGACCTCCCCCAAATCTTCCAAGCCTTCGCCAAAGAATGGATTCAAAGGTGGATCCGGCCGGACCACTTGGAGGCGCATAGGTGGGACGGCCTGTTGGCCAGCTTTCCGTTGCCCCAAGGCCGACCTATGGTGCTCCCGCCCATTTCTGAAGAGACATGGCGAGCGACGGCGCGGGCGAAGCGGTCTTCGGCAGCCATAGGGCCTGACGGCGTGTCACGCGATGACTTGTTGCGCCTTCCCTCGGATCTTGTGCAAGGCATGTTGGCCATTTACCAGGAAGCCGAGACCACCGGCAAATGGCCTGAACAAATGCTGGTAGGCATAGTGGCAGCGTTGGCAAAAGTGCCACACGCCAGGGAGGTGACGCAGTACAGGCCAATAACGGTCTTGTCGTTGTCATATAGGGTTTGGGGGTCTATCCGCGCGCGTCAGGCGCTGGCCTATCTCCGGGGAGTGGTGCCTGACACGCTGTGTGGCAACATGCCGGGGAGGGCTGCGGCTACCATTTGGTGGCAGCTTCAGGCAGAGGTGGAGCGTGCGCAAGCCCAGGGCTACGTTCTGGCAGGGGCTGCCCTTGATTTGCAGAAAGCCTTCAACACTTTGCCCAGGGTGCCAGTTCTTGCTCTTGCCGAGTTGGTTGGCCTCCCGGCTGGGTTGGTGAGAGGTTGGTCCGGCGCTTTAACTGGGGTGCAGCGCAGGTTTAAGGTACGTGGTTCCGTCGGTCCGGCCTTGCTTGCCAATGCAGGCTTTCCAGAAGGCGATGCCATGTCCGTTGTCGCCATGGCGCTGGTTGACTTAGCACTCCATCATCATATAGCAGCACAGGTGCCTCTTTCCAAAGTCATTTCCTTCGTGGACGACTGGCAGCATCCCGGAGGCAGTCCAAGCCACCAAGGCCTTTGCGCAATCCTGGGACATCGCGCTGGATGAGTCTAAAACTAAGGTCTGGGCGACAACCGCGGAAGCCCGGAAGGCACTTCGAAACCAAGGTTTCCAGACCACGCTGGATGCTCGTGATTTAGGGGGCCATCTGTCCTTCTCTAAACGTGTATCTGTCTATACCATCACGACCAGGATTAAATCAATGCAGCCCCTCTGGCCGCGGCTTCAGCTGTCACCTGCCCCCTTTGAGCAGAAGCTTCGTGCGCTCTCAGTGGCAGCCTGGCCACGCGCGCTTCATGGCATTTCGGTTGTTCTCTTGGGGGATGGGCACTTTGACGGGTTGCGTAGTGCGGCTGTGCGAGGGCTAGGGGCCAAGCGGCCTGGGCTCAACCCAGCTGTTTTGTTGGGGCTCACTGTTTATCCGGTGGCCGATCCTGCCTTCTTTGCGCTTCTTTCCACATTCAGAGATCTTCGAGCCCATGGGTCGCAACAGTGGGCCAGTTGGCCGATCCCATTGCTGTGAGGGCACTTCCTGTAGGCACGGGGCCGGTTTCGGTTTGGTTGGGTAGGTGTAATGCGGTGGGTTTGGCTTGGAGGCCCGAAGTGCAGATGCTGGAGGATTCACTGGGGGCTTTTGATCCTTGGGCCACCTCCATGCAGGAGGTTGAGCTGCGATTGGTTCGCGCATGGCAGGGATCCATCGCATCCCGCGTGCAGCATTGGCGAGGGTTTGCAGGGTTGAGACAGGCTGATCCTGTCCTCACGCGCAAGCTTACAGCCCAGTGGCCGGCTGAGGACAGGGCCTTGATACGCATCACGCTCACAGGGGCCTTCTTTACAGAGGATGCCTTGCGCCACATTGGAGGCGGCGATTCGCCATTATGTCCCTTTTGCAGCGTGACGGCGTTGAGCATAGGGTTTGGCGCTGCACTGCTTTCAACCGCGAGCGCCAGCAGGCCCTTCGGGGGAGCACTTTCACTTTCGAGGACTTACCGCCGTGCCAGTCCATGCATGGTTGGTGCATGCAGCCGCGTGAGCTTGACGTGCTACAGCAAGAACTGCTCGGCATACCGTGCTTGCTTTGTGATTTTCAGGTGCCGCATTCGGCAGAAGATCAGATCGACTTGTTTACCGATGGGTCATGTTTGCTTCCAAGAGAACACCGCCTGCGTTTGGCAGCTTGGGCTGTCACAGTTGCGGCCCCCGTGGGCGAGCCAGCAGTCATCCTTGCAGCAGGGCCGGTGCCAGGCCTTGTGCAGACTGCCTATCGCGGCGAGCTGTCCGCAGTTCTGTCTGCCCTCAAGTATGCGCAGGCCTCAGGACGTAGGGTTCGCCTTTGGAGTGATTGTCTGGGGGTAGTTCGGGGTGTTCGGGGGTTGGTTGAGGGGTCGGTTCGGCTCGTTAGGCCAACGGCGCGAAACGCCGACCTTTGGCTGCAGGTCCGAGACATTTTGTGGGAATATCCTGACCGTTTTGGGGGCATCTTTAAGGTTCCAGCGCATGAGGCATTGGGGGAGGATGCCACTTTCTTTGAGGAATGGATACGCCACAACAATGATCAGGTCGATGGGGCAGCGAAGCAGGCCAATCGCGCGAGGCCACAGCGGTTCTGGGATATCTGGGATGAGGTGCGTCGTGACGTGGCGTACCAGCAGCATGTGGGCAGCATCGTCTTGGGCCTCCACAGGGCCATCGGACGTGCTTTGTGCAGGGCAAAACGCAAGCAGCGTGAGCCGGCTGACGTCGAGCTGCAGGTGGTGCCACCTGTGCCGGATGAAAGATCTCTGACGTGCCCCGTGGTCCCTGAGCGAGATTTGGCCACTGTTTTCGCCAAGTTTGGAAGGCCTTATGTGATGGTCTTAAGCAACTGGCTCCGTTTGGTCACTGGCGCTGGTGGCGTTGTAGCTGCTCGACCCCGCTGGGTTTCTCTGGCACAACTTTACCTTGCATTCCGACGTGCCACGGGAATGGAAATACCATTTTATAGGCAGTCTTCGAAGGCATGGTACTCAACGGCCCCAGGGCCAGAGGAGATGTTGCGTAAGGTTCCCCTAGGTCGGCGAGCAACTTGGTTTTTGACCCAGGTCAAGGCCGTGGTCAAAGCTGCTGGTGGAAACTGGTACACTCAGGAGACCCGGCCGTCTTCTGCCATTCTCCAGTGCCGCCTCCTTTCCGTCTACATGCGCTTCCCGGCAGAGCAGTTGGAGGCTGTGGAGTCGCTTTTGGCAGCAAGGCTGGGACGTGAATGCCAACGACATGATCGCAGATGGGCTGCCCTAACTTCGTTGTGATCGCTTTGATTTATGATTTCGTGTTTCTTGGAGCATCGAGGCTTATTCCTGGTCTTTCGCCCAAGGCGTCGGATTGGCGCAAGCGCCGCCATAGTTGCTACGCTTGAGCTGTTATGGAAAGGGTGGAAAGGGTGTAGGGTTTTGTGGGGTTTACGGTTTTTGTTTGTTTCAAGGGTTTGGGAATGTTTAGGGTTTTATTTAGAGTTTAGGGGTATGTAGGGTTTAGGGCTCAGGGGTGCTTCGGGTTTAGGGGTCTTTAGTTCTACGGGTTCGGGGTTTTAGGAAAAAGGTTTAGGGGTATTCAGGGTTAGGGTTTAGGGGTTTTCAGGGTTCATGGTTTTTTTAGGGTCTAGGGTTTAGGTTATTTTTGGGTTTCAGAGCTTAGGCGGTTTTAGGGCTTGCTCCAAAGCCCACAAAACGGACGTCTCAACGCCACGCGGTAGTAGGCCTGCACCACCCAGCGCAAAAGAACCGGAGCCGGCTGGAAACCCGGTGCTCCAAGGAATAGGGGTCAAAATTGCCACATCGCGAAACCAGGTATGAGCTGTGAGGTCACATTTGGCATCTATGTACCCTTTGTGCAAGGGGGGGCTCCCGGGTCACTCATTGGATTCAGGGAGACCCCAGTGAGTCCTGAAGGTGGAGCGGAGGAGTCCCATGAAAAGGAAAGGGCCAAATTTGCACTCTGGCAAAAGACTGTTTCCCGCAAGTGTGCAAGAGGTGGCCGACCTCCCGGCCCAGGACCTCCAGGCCTATGCCGTGGAGGCAACGACGGTGATGGTATGGTTTTGGAAACCAGCCAAGGGTTCCTCCACGTGAGGGACCAAGCGCCCCAAAACTGGGGGTTTTTGGGATTCCCACACCGAAGGAGGTTGACCTCCCTGGATGTAGCAAACTGGAGGCCCGGGCTACGCCTTTGTCAACAGTGCCCCTTTTTTTTCTTTCCTCTACACAGCTGGATGAAGGACGACCAGCCGGTCCTCCACGAAATGGTCAGGGAGTGGGTCGCAAAGCACTTCCGTCCCAGCTTGAGCGGCCATCCTGGTGGAAGAGCCCGACAAGAGGGGGAAAGAGCTCAAGGTCATCTAAGAAATGCCAAACCCATGCCATGGGCTGACGAGAGATTTCCACTGTCACAGCAGGCTCAAAACTCCAGGTCTTGGCTTCCCTCCCAGGCCCAAGAATTGTTTCTTGCACCTTTGCTTGGGCTGACATTTCTCACGCAAAATGCCCCTCCTCGTCGCGATCTTGCAATCAAGACCAAGCATACCATTTGCACCGTTCACCACTGACGTGTACACAGGACCAAGCAAGGGAAGAGGCACTCCTCAGCAAGCACACGCGTCGACGCTGCCCTCGAATAATGCGAGACCACGCTTCATTGTAATTAACAAGCAGGAAGGAGGCCTTGCCGTCATTCCCATTAGTCATCATTAATTTGTCCATTGCGACGCCCCGCGCACTCGTAAGGGGTACCTCAAGCTGGAATGGTTTGGGAGCCCTTCTCACACGGAATGCAGTGAGGAACCCACGCTTTCTTCTCAGCTCCAAGCTCAAACTTCTGAATTATGCAGGCCTCGGGCAAAATCTTCTGCTGATCACAGCAAAGCACGGGCTGTTGTAATGCTTCACGTGTAGCCAAATGGTCCTGCGACCATTCATCCTACTGACCACCCACAATCATGTGATCCAGCCGCAAAGTTGCCTTTGGTGTGGGGCCCCCGAAGCAAAGGAGACCAAGTTATAAAGTCAGGAGAGCCCGCGTGCCAACAGG